TGACCAGGTCTAGCATTTTATACTAAACAGCAAATAGGTCTAACATTTATTATAAACAATTAATTAGCTATATTGTGTTCCTTATCCATTGTTGACAAAAATTTCAAAGAAAAATTGCCTGTAAGGCTAAAATTATGTACATAATGCAGTAATAAATAAAATAAACAACTTTACCAGTGGCGGAAATCTTGGTGGGACGAATGTTCGGAAATTTTGACCTAAAAGAGGGCTAAAAACAGTCTTTGAGTGCAAATGGGGGAAGTTGTCGGAAATTTGAAAGTTTTGTCGGAAATTTAGGAGCCCCCCCCACCGGGGAAAGTGAATTTCCGCCACTGACTAGTTTATCAATGACAAGAGTGCAGGGACGCCGGAACTGGGGGGCAGGGGGGGCGGCTGCCCCCCTTGCCTTTTGCTAGGGGGGCAGGGGGGGGGGCAGAAGTGCCCTTTTAGTTGTAAAATAATACGTGATAAATCACATTTCCAACGATGCTTTTTGTAGGAAAATCACGAGATTCAGGTAATTTATAGTTTATATTTATAAACATTTTGGGAAATTTTTGGAATTTAGAAAAATATTTTGAAGAAATGGCGAAAATCTAAGATATCCGGAAAAATTTTTGGCTTCACGGAAAATTTTTGTATTTCCGCAAAAAATTTTTGACCCCTAAAATGGGTACACTGACCGTAATTTTGTAGTGAAAAAAAATTTTTCAGTAAAGGTGCCCTCGGTGTGCGTCCGCCCTCCTTTGCCCTATTATCGTTCCGGCGTCCCTGCAAGAGTGAATCTTAAATTGCAATTTCACATCATGATGAGGCAAAAAACTCAAAAGTTGGTGCGATAAAGAATAGTAGATTAGTTTCTGATTATTTACAAACATGTAGCAGTACCTTTCGCATTTATATTGTGGAAAGATATCTATATTTTTCAGTTTATTTCTGTCTATTTTTCTCAGAAGAATGACAGTAAACTGCGTAATACCGTGTGCAACCCCCCTGCCAAGAGACTTGAACTAGTACAATAACTGTATATAACATGAAGTTTCCTGAACAAAATGGCGGAAATTTTAATAAAAAATGTTGATGTTTGATCGTAAAATACAAAAAAACTGCGGGTCTGTGCGAGTGACAACAAGTGAATTCGTATACTCAGCGTATAAAAATCTATAGATTCATGTCAACTAAAAGTAGTTCCCGATTGGGGGCAGCGGAACTGAACGATAATCGGCCACAGAATACGGCCTATATATGGGGAACCGGCAGACGGTTTATACGCCCACCCGTAATTTCGACCTGCATGCCGTTCTCCCGCCCGCAAGTCCTCCCCTAACATAACCCTAAATCACACATCGATCAATGCGCGCCTATGGCTATATATGCCCTCTGGATGGAATGGATGCCTCTAAGCATTGAAAACTCGCTCGTTAGGGAACATCAAACAGCACGTTGGAACATGGCCGCGATGTGTCTAGTCGTTCGCTGTTACTAGCGGGATGTCCCGGAAAAAATCGAATTTTGAGTCTTTCAAACGGCATTTCCTGCATTGTGAAGGCACTCGAAAAAATATAGAGGTGTTGATAAATTACATTTTATTGATTTCCGGATACTTGACAATTGAATTCAGTGGGAGATATGTAATCACATGCATATAATCTAGAGCTTTACATTCGAACAAGGTTCAGGAGTTTTTATGAGTAAATGCCGCAAGATGCTATACTCAACAGTGTCTCCATATAATTTTCCACTCCACGTCCTCTCCCATTTTTCATCGCATTTGAACGAATCTAAAACTATACACACTGAGAAACGAAACATTGGGGAGCGGTCGCCCCCTTCTCTTCCCTCCACCTTGGCGGCGCCACTGATAACTCATTATACAGGGTGTATCAAAAAAAGCGCAATCCTCGACTGAAATGTAAATTGCTAAACAAATAATAGACGAAAACGTTAAAGTTTACATTCATTTTAAAGCGTAGCCATTCAGCTTTCTAACAGTGGGTTGTTTCTTAAATTTGACTCATTGGTTCGCGGGTAATAATACTTTACGTTATTGCGATTGGAGATTAAAAAAATTGAGATGGAATAACTAAACGTTCTCATGAAAATAACTGATTTTTTCATTAAAACAAAAAAATGTTGCATCTTATTAAATGGATTGTAACAATAAGTATAATTACGGCTTTTCTTCCACTATTTTTAGCTCAGTTTGAAACTTCAAATGCGATATAATTTTGGCTTGGACCATCTAAGCTGACTGACATCAACTTGCTATAATTTCTGTTTACATTACATCGCAATTCGATGACACTCTGGCTCAGACACCAGAATGTTTTGACGATTTTTAGCATTCGTTTAGGATTTTTAAACAACCTGGTCTCTTTTAAAATACTTTTAATTTGTTCTTACGTGGTTTTCCAGATGTAGTGGCGACAACATTAAAGTTTAAAGAAGAAATTCTAACATTTAAACCGACTAAACAATAACATAGTAAACTTGCATAATTAAACAGCAACTAAAAATGATAGGTTTTACTAAATCTTTTCCTGTGCAATTATTACTAGCATTGGAGACAAGGATAATAGTTTGTTCGAAAGAGAAAAGAACAGGCTTTGAAGTAAGCCTAAAAGCGTTTAACTAGAAATTGTATTTCGAAAGTTATTAAGCACAAAAGATGAATTGCGTTTATTTTGATACACCCTGTATATATATATATATATATATATATATATATATATATATATATATATATATATATATATATATATATATATATATATATATATATATATATATATATATATCAGTTCGGTGATCATGAAAAGCAAACAAATAATTGGGGATCAAGTTTAATGGCTAAGGGTACTACATTTTGACCTTATATGGATCTCAATTTCGAATTGATAACCGTCAACCCCCGCCATTCTAGCCTTTTTAAATTTTCTTTTCTCCTCCTTTCATACTTCCTAGAATTGTTTCTCACTGCGCATGCCCATGAGATGCATCCGATTAAAATTAATTATTAAAATTAATATTGGCAAATCTAAATTACTTTCAACCGCATCCCGTGTGCGCAGTATCCAACAATTTTAACATGTATAAATAGAAGAGAAAAACATAGTTAAAACGATGCCCGAATGGCGAGGGTTACCAATTATTTGTTGAGGTGGATAAAGAATTTCAACAAACATGCAATACCCTCATACCCATTATATAATACACACTCGAGAACATTTTCACCTTAACATATTACGGAGTGTACAATTACACAATCTATCTAGGTAGTCCTTCTATACTAGGGCAATATCTAGGTAGTTTGTAGAGTACTGAAGCACGATATAGGAACTGGATTCCGTACTTCAATTGGTAGTGATCAGATTTCTTTTGTGAGTACTTTCCTATCAGTCTAACGTTAATACATTATTTAAGGATGTGCTTGATCTTCATACCGTGAGAAACGCGATGGGAGCAGTGGATATTTTGTTTTTACAATGTTTGAAAGATCTGAAGCAGCTGAAAGGAGAGGTACATTTTTGTGTTTTTCAGGGCTGCAAAAAATACTTCATTTTCTGGGACTGCAAGGCCAACGAAAAAAATTCCTCTGCAAGTAAACAACTGGCAATCGTATGTTTTTCTAAATTTCACCGGTACTGGTTGGTCTTTGTTTGTGGATGAGTAGTGTAGCACTTTAGGCTGGTAACCACCAAAATCCAAACTAGACTAATAAGTAATTATTGGATGAGGCTGAGCATGATATCAACAATTATTCAAACCGAGGTCAATGTTATCTGCCGAAGCGAAGCTGAGGCGGATAACATAGACCCAGGTCTGAATAATTCTTGATATCATGCGAAAGCCGAATCCAATAATTGTTTTATTATACATTTAAAGACATGAGAAACGTATAAAACGATTCCTGTTCATGAGGTAGGAAAAGTAAAATTTGAATATCAAACACCTTGCACAAAGTCAAAGATCAGCTAAATATTCTATTTCTACTTCTATTTACCCCTTTGTGGCTTTTTTCGTGCTTTCACTATCCTTATCTGCATGCCAGTAATTTGGAGAGTTCACTTTCATTCAGCGAAGCAAATCTGCTGTAGGCCATTGTTTATTTGTTTTTTCGCGCGTTTATAGGTTCAAGCTTTAGGCCGCGCAAGGGTTTGGGCACGAGAGAGTCCAATAATTTTTTTTGGATGCATGTTCGATCCAAAAAAACAATTATTGGACGCTGATGACCTCATCGGCGGAAAATACGTAAAAATGCCGAATACTGAAAATTAGCCGGTGCTTTCTGCAGACCAATTAAAAACGAGAATACATATTAAATGTATAATAAGCTCTATTAAAGTCTATTACACTTCATATTTTTCTGCCAACCCCAAACATTTTTTGGGGTCCCATGGTCCGCTATATTTTGCAGCCCTGGTGGATTTGTCATGCTTTTATGAATCATTCTACATCCATTATTTCTCCTGCTATACCTTTCCATGTTTCATTTAGGACTGGCTCCTGGAGTTATTTAACAACAGTATAGTGAACTTGGCGACCACATTGGCAGGTAGGATGAAATCACGCTTTCCTTTTTAATATCTGTTTTAAGATACGTTTACACAATGATTAGGGAAGCCTCAGACATCGATTTTGTCCACGAGAAACGTGATATGGGGTTACATATGGGGTTACAGCTGTGACGTTTCTCTGTAAAACATCATGGAAAAATTCGATACTTTATTCGAAAGCCTTAATATTTCGGAATCATCTTTGCAGATTATAGAAAAGAAAACGTGATACACCAGTCTATACATTCGTAATACCATACCTGTTCTATTCATTTATATTATTACGACTTCCTTGCATTGAAAACTCTCAAATTTCAAGAAAAACGCGCTAAAATGATCAATATTTCATGCAAAAAAAGTTGTTTGAGAAACGTTGGAAATTTTGAAGTTCATATATTAATAAAAAAACATATGTCAGCAGAAGATGACATATTCCTCGCGGAATCATCGCCAATAGCCGACCGTAGAACATAGTAGAAAATTACGATATGTGTACTATAAGAACAAAATATGGATAAATACATATGTGTGACATTTCTAATCGGGGGTGGGGGGGGGGGGATCTCCAGAGAAACGTCCATATGACGTTTCTCATGGACAAAATCGATATGTGAGGCTTCCCTTACTCGGACCGATTCAGCTTTAATTAAATGATATTTGAAAAGTACGCTGTCTACGTCATCTGATGACATCGTCAACTGACAACATTCATCATTAACATTCGGCAAAACATGAAGTCAACCCGATTAATCGTTGTGTGCAAACGTAGCTTTATAGTCTTTCACAGGTTGTTAATATTAATATGCTATGTAGAACTAGTACGAAAGTTATACTCTTAATAGCTATTTATCTCGAACTTGAAAGAAAAGACTTTCCCATATGACTTCAAAATCTTGGCTCATTCCACTCCTGGCAGTACGCTATATTTTTGAGATCAGTCAGATGTCCATCCACCAGCCATGACACCTGCATGCCCTCGATGAACTTTTCAATCCGCGAGCTTTTCTTTTCCCGGGTGTAAATAGCCGATCAGTGGGGCAATCGTCAGAGTCTTTCAGCTCCGAGATCGTGGGTTCGATGGTCGCTGTGGACGCGCTCATGACACTTATGTGAAAAGAGTCATTCGACGCTCCGTGATGAGTCATAAGGTGGCTGCCAGAGGCGCCCTTAGAAAGCCTTCAACACGATGAAGTTGAGCAGCATGCTTCGCAATTCACCTTAGCTCTCAGCTGCAACTGCAAGTAGGGATGATTAGCACACACAAACATATCGCTACTAGCTACTAACCTCCACCAGTGCCCTGGCCTTCACCCTACGCGACAAGTAGTGATGAAATACAGCTTGAAATTTAAACAATTCGTAATTTGTTGTTACAACATTAAATATAACAAATGTTGCTTCATAGCGTGTATTTTTGTGAATTGCAGAACAGGGTAAAAACGCCGAGAAGATGACGGAGATTTTACAAGAACAGGTAATTAAGTCCTTCAACATCACAGCTCAAAGAAAATTAAATCTAGGTGATGAATTCCAGGTTTATAGCTCCGTTCAGTCCTTGTGGTGTGGAAAAATAGTTTTGTGGTAGTTACTTTTCATGTATTGGTAATTCGTGCTATGCAGTATGCAAATTGTTTTTTATGCTTATCCGAACTTGGCTGAACAATTCTATTCTGTTACTACCAAAACCGCGGACCTCTCTTGCCCAAAACAACGTGTTATGTTTTCGTGTCAAACATTCGGGAAAGCAATGACATTCCTAATGTCGTGAAATCAGACGTATTCTCCATCTATATAGAAGAACTAATTTAGTCAGTGTAATTTGTTCTCTTTCGTAACTTATATTCATAATGTTACTGAGAAATACTTTTCTTTTCAAGGGTTTGATATTCCTCTCTCCACAACTAAAAGCTCAGTCCGAATTATTTAAACAAATACAAAATGATCCTAATGTCTCTTCCTTGTATAAATGGATCAAGGTTAGTTTAGATTTTTGTAAAAATACTTTTGCTCTTTTCTTTTAAATCCTTAACTTTATTTTTTGAGCGACATTTTGTTTTTGCCTTTTTAATTTTAGGATAACATCGATGTAAAACTTCATTCCAGTCCAGAATTTGCAAGTGTTTTAACCACATGGTATATCCTGAATCAAACTCTTTCTGTATTTTCTCGTATTTAATATGATCGCACTTTCGAGAATAAAAATGAAAAAAATTGGGCCTAATAAGATATCTTTTAACGTTTTTAAAGGGGAAGTCAAGTCCGTTCTGCGCATCGGTTCTGCGCATAACAATAGAGGGCCCTCTGAGGTAAACATTGCCCAAATTTTGAATGTTTCGAATTTTTCTGAACACAAACTCTATTTCATATTCATGTAGAAGCATAACGAACCAAAATGGTGTTAGATTTTCAGACAGTACATCATATTTAAAAAAATACAGCAGTTCAAAATGTAAACAAACCGTTTGTTTACATTACGGACTTGACTTCCCCTTTAAGTGTTTTGAAGTATGTTACCATGACAACAAGTTTAGCTCCTAACGTTGATCGTAATCAACCGCTGGACAAAGAGATTCAGGATCAGGAGAAATTAATGATGAAAAATATGAAGGTGAGATTTAAATTATTTCAAGGCTTGCTCATCTTTTATATCGTTTGGTTTCAGGCAGAATAAAAAATAAATACTACATATAATGTTGTAGTACACGTCTCTCTCATAAAGTATTTGATGGATACGAACGAGTAGGAGGTAAGGGTAGCCGATTTTTTAACCCACGTATTATTGTATAATCCAAGTTTTGTACAATATACGTTTTTTACTTGTCCATGAGAAACCTTTCTTTTTGTCTGTTAACGCTTGGCAGGGTCTAAAATTTGCAGTATCCCGATATCCACAGGATACTAAAATTTTGTTTTCGATATCAAACTTGGAATGACTTGTATCCCAATTGGATATTACAAAATTTCAAACATTAGGATAACGCTAAATGTCTCCAGGCGTCTCTCAATAGCTTGGAATACTATGAGTCTGCTTTCTTAAAAATAGCCAGCATTTGATTTCTAACTTGGTGGTCTAGTTGTTGACTCTTGAGCCTCTTGTTCTTATACAATGAGAGACATGTACTGTATACGTCTGTGGTGGTTCATGCCACAATTTATGGTAACTAATATCCGGAAGTGGGATACTGGATTCTCAGATAGGGGCTAGAACGTTGGATCCTGGTATCCCAGTGGGGTACTGATAATTTTAAATTTCGGATTCTGCTTGGTGACTGCTTTTCCGTGCCGATCAATAGCAAATCCAACAAAAAATCTAGAATCCAAGAGATGAATAAGATCCGAATCTGCGATTAATTTTAGGTCAAAATCCGCCGATCCGCAAACCTATTCACTCCCTACCCTGTCGAGATGACCCCACTTTCTTCAGAAAATCCTCTGCCCGAAACGTCCAACTATTTGGAATCTTTCTAACGTGGTGGAGACACACCCATTTTTAAAGTGTTCTATGACAATAGCTTTGCATCGTTCAGCACGTCGGCTTTAATGTAAATGTGTTTTTAATACGGAATCCATTTTTCGTGTTTCAGCATATGAACATATCATTAATATCGTGATGCAAATTCTGATTTTCATTTTAACCTCTGTTGCAGAAATTCTTGAATGATAATATCCAACTGCAGGTATAGTATTGCAGTGTGCTGTTCGCAGAGTAGTTTCGGTCATATTGTAGATGCTCAGATGAAAAATAGGATCTAATAAACGCCCTGCGGGTATAAGTTATATACCCGTCGAAGGTTACGGACTGGTAGCCGAAAGCTTGTAATTAAATATGAAATTCTTTGGCCATTTCATTCTTATAAACGCCACTATTAGATAAGACGCCTTTAAATAAAGAGGGCTGTTTACCACAAAAAGTGGTTTGACGAATGATTCAAAACTTGGGGCTTTCATTAAAGATTGGACGTTTATTAGGTAATATACGATAGCTTATGAACTTATTAATTTAAGTTGAAATATAATTTAACATCCCGACCCAAACTTTCAATGTATGTTCTTGCAAACCAAATGCCTGATTGGAGGGTTGCATCGTTCAATTCCTCATATTGGTATATTATCTGCTCTCACTATTTTAGGTCAGTGCCCTATATGCATTGCAAGTATTCTGTCATTGCAACGAATTTCCAAAAGGTGTGTATTTACTGAAGGCATGTACACTGTACTTGTATTTATTCTTTCTAATTCGGATATGCAAATGCCTTGAAACGATATCTTGACTTTCATGCAGGATTATTGTTATGTACACTGCATGTATGTATGTATTGTTAACGTATGTTTATAATGTTGAAACACTAAACAGGCTTATATTTGTATGGGGATGTGCCGGATACCGGTATCGGATATCCGGTAACATACATCCGGCATTATCCGGTATGCTGTAATATTTAGCGGGATATTATTGGAAGTAGGATGCGACAGGGCTTTATCCAAGCACTTTTGCTGACCCCCGTTTTAGAAAAGATTCCGTTTTTGTGACGCAGGAATGTAGCAAAGGTGGAAAGTCCTTGAAAGATTTTGCTATTTCCGCATCTTAGACTATGTTGCCGCTTCCTTGCTCGGATATAACCGCGTGGTTTGCGAATGTAAACATTTCGCGGGCAATATGCATCGATGTACTCATAGTCGAGCGTATTTTTTCTGCTGCTTTTTTACTCTTCCAGTTCAAGGTTGTGTAAATTTTCGATTTTAGTTGAAAAAATTACTTTCTATTTGTAATATTAATTTTTTTGTTATTCTTCAATCATTCATTCCATTTCATTTTGTGCTGATTTGATCGAAATATTTATCAGAAATCCAAACATGCATGCCATCTAAGCATGGTGGGCACAAGACACAAAATATACGACAGAGGTAACTTTATAACATAAACATGTCGTTTCATTTTGAAAAACAAAACAGCTCAAATAACCCTGTTTCTTGGAATTCCCAAAACTAAAGCGTGTGAAAATGATTTTTTGTTGTTTTTTCTTTTCGTTGGGGGAAAGATTCAGTTTAAAAACTCAATCCAAGATTGAGTTTTGACTTCCGTTTACCGGAGGTGAGTTGGTGGTTGGATAAAGCCCTGATGTGATAATTCAAGATTTTTAGTCGTACCTGGCTGATACTCCAATGATCATTGCCGCGTACTTCAGCTGCTACATACTTAAGACCTAGTCTTTAAGACTTAGTCTTTAAAATGAAGTACATAAAGTACAAGTTTCTGAAAGGTATTAATTCAGTAACCTGAAACCACGAGTTAGAACAAGAAGGACGACAACTGCACACACAAACACTAGAATCGACTCATTCCTTATGCTTCGTCCCATCAATCCAATCATTTTTCATGCTAAGACATGTCAGACGTGCCCATATACAGGCTTAATTACGGTTTGAATACATTGGGTTTGGTAAGGTCATATGGTACCAGCAAAATGTAAGTACGCAAATAGCGAGAGTTCCGTGTACCTACGTGGTACTTGGCTGAAAACAAAGAAGTATCAGACCGTAATATTGGCGTAATCTGGTACTATGAAACTGTAAAAACGTATGCTTTGTCTTTTTTGTGCGTTGCAAAATTGTGGAGCAAGAACAATTACTTGACAGAAAATGTTTTCGTGATGTAAACTGCTCTCTGCTGTAGATTAGCTGCCCACTCCTGCACCAGATATATTTATGGACTTATAATGTATACTAAAACAATATAGTATATATTATGGGGGAAAATAGTCGAGTACCACTATTATACGGTTATCATTTTTCCCTAGACTACTATCCGGTACCATCCGGCAAAACAGTATCCAGCACATCTGAGCTCACTGCACTTTCACTTAGGATTGTTATAGTCGATTTCACGAAACTTTGACCCCAAATGTCCCGAACTTCGTTGCGAAGTTCGCAAGTTCGTTGCGAAGTTCGCAAGTTCATATTGGAATTCACAAGCCAATTTATAAACAAAATCCCTGATTGATCGCTGAAGTAAAAGAAGCCAATCAAATGCGTAGTTTGCAAACTGGTTTGTGGATCTCATTATGAAGATTTGTGGTCAAAGTTTCGTGAAATAGACTGTATATTTGTGATGTTGAATCAAAACAATATCTTTATATTTTGTTTCAGGATTGTTGTTACGTATGTTTGTGACGTTATATGATCTGGAAATCATTGAAGAAGACGCCTTCATATCATGGAAAGAAGATGTGAATGACCAACATCCAGGCAAAGGACGAGCTCTCTT